CAGCCAGATCTCGTTTTAAACATAGTTTCCAAACCTGGATCGCGTATTCTACATGGGACCTCATCTATACATTGAACATTTGGGGGAAGATGGAGGGAACAAACCGCCCGAAAGCCCTTCGTAACAGAACAACCTGATGGTGCTTGGTTTTGGACACCTATAAAACTGCGCCGAACAGACGTGATCATCTTTCATCACTAGCACAAGAGTTTGCTCTTGTGAGGCAGTTTTCAGCATTTCCTCTCCAAGGTTATTTGCGTAAATGGGCTGGTGGCGGACATGCGTGGTCCTGCGCTTGCCCGGGTTAAACGGAAGTAGATTTGCCTTTGACCATTCAAAGCCATAGTCAAAGTCTCGTTGTAGCATATCGTTATCTTCCTGACAGCCGATTGTCCGTCATATATTGATGTCATTAGGAAAAACTAAGAAATTTGACTTGATGACACTCGCAAGGTCGTTAGTGATTAACAAGAATAACCGGGACCCCGAAATTGCCCTTTGTTGAACACCGCAGTCCACAGTAATGGGATCAGAAAATGAGCCCGGACTCGAATCCGGAGGCGTCGCTGAAGTAGGACGTTTCCGATCCATCCAAGGACAGGGTTCTGGAGAAGAATGAGTTCATTCATGAGGTCAAAGGCTTTAGAAACGTCTAGCTAGATGACATCAATGTCGGTCGCACTGTCGGCAATCTCAGTCTAAGTACCACGAGCAATAAGTTGATTAGCAGCACATGACCGTTTCTGCCGGAATCCGTGCTGCCCCGATGCTACGATGTTAGACCTTTCGAGGTAGCCCATTACGGCCTCGGTTATGGTCGATTCCATCTCCTTTGAAAACACCTGGAAGAGAATCGCTGGACAATAGTTGGCGGGCTCTGAACCGCTACCACCCTTAAAAACTGGGGTAATGATGCCTTGCTTCCACATGTTACGGACCTGCAATTCATCCAGGCATCTTGGGAAAAATCTAGTCAATGATTCAGCTACCCTCGTTGCTGCCATCTGCAGTGCTTTCGGGGGAATGTTGTCAACCCCAGGGCAACTGTGAGTGCGCAGCCATAGCAGGTTCCATAAAATGGTCGGCAAACTAAAGGTGACGTGTACAGATTGGCATCTGGGAGATTGGGACATTTATGTTACACATGGTGGTAGCACGTCAGAGAACTGGAGCATATTGGTCATAGAACGTTAGCTGCCTGCACGGCGGTTTGAGCACATCCAAGTGGTGATATTAGTGAAGAGACACTACGTTGCACATTCCGGAGGCTGTTCACATGTCTGTACAGAAGCTTTATGTTAGCACAAAACTTTTCCGCTAGACCTTGCTGGTGTACTAATTTGTCCTCACACACCAGATTTGTACAGTAATTACAAAGCACAACATAATTCATCGACTTGCCTGGGCTAGAGTTCAGTATATACACATGCCATGCTGTGTCTATTACTGACATTTGTTTCTTGGTTCCGCTAAGAAAGAATGATCGTGAACTTGCGGAACGAAGGTGTTTTTTAATCCATTCAGATTTAGTCAGATCAAGGAATCTACTAGTAAAAGCATCCAAGCACTGTCAATGGAAAAGTCGCCCGAAAACTCCCACAAGTTCTGCCAGTATGTCCTATGGACTGATTGTTCGAAACAAGCTATTATGTTTTGTGGATACTACGCGTAACACACGAGGTCATAAATTATGGTTACATGGTTGCTCCGCTCCAGAGGGCTCTACATCCTTGGTTTATCAATCATGCGCTCTTCTTTCGTGAGCAATAATTCGATCACAGCTGATTTATTTCTGGCTGTGTATCGGGTGGGCGAGTTGACGTGGTTGGAGAGCGGAATGAATGCAAAACGCTCTTGCAGGTCTGTCTTGAATTGCGCGTTGGGGATGCCGGAACTTCTGTATCATAATTTTGTAGTCGGCAGAAATGAGAGCGTGGCTGTATCGTCGTCGTAAGACCCTACCCAAGGATACTTTCAGGCAGGAGTTCATCTGTGCGTTGGATATTGGGGGACGCTAAACAACGGCGAAAAGGCAAGTGTCGTTTTGTCTCAGCCGCAGAGGGCACCAGATTAAGTCTATGATCAGCATGTCCGGATTGACCACCGGTTCGCACTTCAGGTCATTGCGGTAGTATAAAAGTACCTTTGCTACGGCGACTGTATCAGAGAAGGGACATACCATGTGTCGCAACCGCGGCGTCGGATATGAGATCCAAGGCATGTGACGCTTTGGTAAGTGCAGTTCGGCAAGCTTGTTCAGGAGACCTAGTGCACTGGTGTGTATGCAGGAAGATTTCTTTGTTTTTACCAACAAACCGTGGGATGCGCTTTCTAGGTAAAACGTTGTGCCGACCGATGAAATGTAGGCCACTAATAGTTTTTTGGGTGTGGTACTGACCAACCCATCTCTGTCAGATACATGGATCCAATCACTACCTCTTTGTCTCTCTTTGTTGGTAATTTATGGGGTATGTATGCCAGTTTCGCTGGCTAGTTAATTGAGATTATTTGAACACTTGTTGGAAAGTGGTGCGAGTAATTGGCTGCTCTCGTGCGTTTGCTTAGCAGATGATGGTTTGATCCGGAGCTAGGAACGAACGCTGCTTCGGCTTGCATACTAGCACTCCAGCAACATTGCTGACATTTGTCTAGATTGAAGGACCAATTTTACAATCCTCGGGCCACATCCTATGTAGTTAGGCGATTAACGCAGCGTGGAGATAGATTGCGCCATGACTTTTTCTAGGGAAAGAGTCTCGCGAACGTATCACCATTGTTCCTGGTCGTGATTGGTCGCTTCATGCTCATCATGACTTCCAGCCTCAGGAACGCCTGTACCAGGATGCTCCTGGCTACGGATTCCTTCCGGTTTTCATCCAAACAGTGCTTTGTCTGTCTGTGCTCGCTCTACGGAATATCCGAGAATAGGCGGATGGGACGGGACACATTCCTGAGGCCAGCTGTCGATAACAGTCGTGCTTCTGCTTTATTGGCGGAAGTCAACACAACTCGGATAACTTTTGGTTCACCGTAGTACTGAAAGTTTGCGTGAACTAACGCGTGTCAAATTGACGGGTTTAGATACAAGACCTATAATGTTAGATACGTAGCTCCTCTGGCTTACGTCAACAAGCTGTTTTCCTTCTAAGGAATTTGACCTTGCTTCCGTAACTTTGGTGCAGACTACCGTTGGTATGTTACATGCGATGAGCTTTAAAGTTAAACGACCTGCTGTTCTGTATTATGCCAACAGAGGCTGTGTGGGTACCGCTTTGTCGGGGTTCATATTTACAAAGGATGGTTATTTGCTTAAAGACTATATTTTCTACTTTTATTAGCCAACTTAGTTTATGTTGTGCATAAGCATAAAAAGCAATGGATCACAAATAACAAATCAATATACCGCTATGGCGCATTTTTCTGAGGTTACATTTTTAAGCAGGCAGTTTCACTCTTGTTTTACCCTGTTATCTTAATATGTACATTTGGTCTAACTATTCCTGAGTTGCTCATTTGGTCGACGCGATCGTGGTCAAGTCCGACCATTTACAAACGCGGAATTGGAAGTTTATCTTATGGATGTCAAACGCTGTCATGCACAACATATTATGTTTACAACTATCAAGGCAACAGTGTTTTCTTGTCGGAATGCCTTGATTTCGCTGTGGTTTGACCTGACATCACTGATGTGGATCTCCGGGACACGCCATTCTTTCAACTCAATTTGCTCTCATATTTACCCAGAACTTTAAAAGCACGCTAGTTCCCGCGCTGGACTCATTGGTATATAACACATTTAGCTGTTCTAGACCCTACACGTCACCTATCAGATTTCATTTTTCTGATGTGTCAAAGCCTGGCGGTTTTGTTGTTGTCTAATTCGGTACCCACTCACTCTTAAAGTCAGTCCGTTACTTCAGTTTAATAGCTTCCACTTGAAAGTAGCCGTTGGTAAATTAACTGTAAAATAACACAGCAAGCTTAAGTACATGCAGTGGAGCCTGACAGATAGGTGAGCAGTTTCCTGACTGAGATCTATTTCAAATGACTTAAGAATTGTTGAATTCACTCCTACTAATCCGTCTGCTTGGATTGGTTTATTAGTACCATGGATCGGATCCCTATAAACATTATTTCCCTTAAAATTTAAGAATTTGTGAACTTACAAGTCTACAGTAGCACCTGAGGAAGTCATGCTACCAGGTTAGAGGAGTTATATGAAGCAACTGTACACATATTGGAGTTGCTTAAATTAGGAATTTCTTTTCACTGCTACCTAATATTTAACGGCAGCCAACTAGGCATATAACGCCTCACTGGACCCATTTTTAGGTGAAATTCCTAATTCCGTTTGGTGAATTGTTGTGTTCTTATTCCATTCAGCAACTACATTTTATGAGGTTAGCCTAAAAGCATCTGGCTAGGTAAGTTATCAGGGCCCGCTGTGACTTATACTGCGTAGTCTAATACCTGATTGGGAATGGGTAAATGCGTTTTCCTAAGACAAGGAATCCTGGTGCAAAGACACTCGGTGATAATCCTTAACTGGCATGTCACGACAGAGCGGCATAATTACTTTTGCATGGGGTTATTTAACCTCACGTGCCAGTCGCTCCACCGGATGCTACCAGTGCCAGTTTACTTCGCAGCAGACTGATTTCTTCTATTGATTCTGGTATCTGAATTCGCTAGCGGTGATTTTTGGCACATAACAACATGACTGGCAGCATGATTCGCAACCGCAGATAAAACATTACTACTCAATCTGTTTAAATTCGCTATCTTGTGAGACATCCTTTATGTTCACAATTTCATTGAGTTTTGCCACCACTTGTCAGTGACACTGTACCAAGTTGCGATCCATTGCACAAGTAACAGGTCGATTAATCTCACATGTATGTAGTACCACCTGTCTGATTGTTGTGTGTAAATAGATTATCAACTGTCTTAAGCGGCAAACATTCCTTATTGAAGCTGACTGAGATGAGTTTTTGACTCCAGTATACGTTTGTTTGCGCGTACAGCGGCACACCAGCAGTTGCAGCAACGGCGATGCATGACTATAAAAATTAAACCATTGCAGTCCAGAAATTACTCGTGGTCTCGAATACCTGAACACCATGGCAGATCTACGGCCCGAGATTCGCCATGTGGATATGCCTCAAGCAATGCAGGAGAGGGCAATTCAAGTGGCCAAGGAAGCATTACAAAAACGAGTGAAAAACAATGAAATCGGGGCCTATATACGCGATCGGTTTGACACGGAATATGGGCCAGCGTGGCATTGCGTGGTGGGGAAAAGTTTCGGTGGGTGAGTTGTGTTAACCTTGATTGTCACCGATTCGCTGTCGTGGTAATTTCAAACTACACAGCTTGCTGTGGTTTTTGATTCAAAGTAAGTGTTGAACATCAGTCAAAAGGAGCACTTATCCTGATGGCTGTTATACACGGTTAGCACTAACCAATACCTATTATTCAAGAGAAAATATTTAGTTGCTAACTTCTCACGAATAAATAGGGAATAAGTTCCGTTCCATAAATGAAAAAAGTCTACAAAACAGGCTCGTTACGGTTATTCTTCGTCAAGCTAAATACATCACATTTACATAGCTAGGATAAGAAACGATGGATTGAGTCGCTAGAAAATGAAGGCGTCAAAACTCCTAAACTGGGTGTGATTTATTCTCGTCTTGTTTGTTGCGGTGTACTGCACTGCCATCCTCGTCTTTGCTTACAATCACTAGGTAAATGCGCACAGTGCCGAGACAAACGAATTAAGAATATGCATTTCAATTCAGGTACACAGCAAATAGTTTGCAACTTCATAGCCGAATACAGAACCACCTGAACTATCTTGATGCATAATGACAGAAGTATCATTCGATACCCTCATTTATCGTAGGTCGTTTCGTACTAGCTTTGGTTTGTGTTAGTGCGCCGCGAATCTTTATTGCGGGTACTGACGTAGACAACGATAAGGACCCAATACAATTTGTTCTGTTAATTGCTGGAAGCGACCGGAATGACCTGATGTTTATCACCATCCAGCAAAATGTTGCTTGCTTGGTCATGGATCTTCTGCAGGAATCAAAGTAGACTCTGCCTTAATTCATGCAATCAATTATCTAGGTCGGTCCGCATGGTTAAGATATCTGTTGAAAGAACAGGCTTCGACGATTACCAGAGGCGTCAATCTTGATACGCGAAGACGATTAAGTATCACCACAAAATGCACCCACTAAATTGGGCCACGCTGAGGTTGATACAATTTAATCGCCGTCTAGGAACTTGTTCTCTTTTACGGAACGTCGCAGTCATTACTAACGACCTGTCATAATCTTCAATCTACCAGTTCATGGACAACAATGGCATAAATGCTTAAGCCTAATGGGTGCCTTCGGGTGATATAAGTTAAAACAAGCGGTCAAAGGAACACGTTGCCAACAAGATAATCCGCGCATTCACTCAATCACCATGTTTTCCACGCCAGCACAAATATAATGCGATTTCATCTGGTGGGATTGGCGAACACATGGATTGTCTGCGATATGTTGTAACCAAATGAACGTGGGTCCTACCAATTAACGTACAGTAACTAGATGCAAGTATCACATTGTTCGGAAGACAATGCTGTGGAGAACACGTTTGGATGCAAAAGCTCCCGGACGCTACCAATCGGCTATAATGTGCCTTGTCAGTTTCGTGTTGAAGCCTAGTGCCAGGCGGCAGCGTCAAATGGGATTAGGGTGCTTAAAATATACTGTGTTAGTATGAGATCACACTATAAGTGACGATGTCTTCTACTGTTCACTCTTAGCGCCGCAAGAACAAGGTGGCAAAAAAAGCACGACCTGGATTTTACAGGATAATGGCTTACAAAGCTCCCATGCCAGCGCAGACAATAAAACGTGAATACTCCGTCCCACAATGAGTCACCCTTGTGTACTCCCCTGCAGCCACATGAGGGCATATAAATACCATAACTTGTTGTACACTTCCTGCATTTTTAACCGGATGCCTTAACTTCTGGCAGTTGTTTTCTGACCGGCCTGGATTTGTTCTACTGCTCCTGATTTATTAAGCTGATTCTCGATGCGCTGTTTTGAGTTATTCCCGGGGGCAGTTACAGACAAGCTTCTACCAGATGTACTGGCATTTCGACCAGTACATATATAGCTCCTTTCGGCCCATAGACTTACAGTCACTTGCAGCTCGTGACAGGATTTCTGCTCGTTCCATAGGCCACCATTTTACACTTTCTTATTTGTTCATGGCGAATATGTATGCGTGTTTACTCTTCTTTCTGATTGCTTTGCCTTTGTTCATGATATCATTGCCCTCCGCGTCTCTACACAACGGCTTACAGTATAACGTATTATAAGAGATAGAAAGCCAATTAAAACTACATATTCCCCAAGACACGGGGTCTCAAGTGTAGTGGTATCATGCCTTTGCCATGGGCTGCGAAGTTTGAATGACGTTTTAATTAATTTTTGAGCATGTTAATAAAGGTATGGGAATTAGAAGGACTTCCAATCAGCCATAAGAGACCAATATTTCTTTTTCCATTTTTCAACCACATCGCGGATTATTTCGAACTGCTGAGGTCCAGTTGCACCTGTGAGACTATCTGCAAACTTGATCTCTTGGTATATTTTGCTAATGGGCAGCATCTGAGCTACTTGTAGTATTCACTTCGTTAAACGGCAACATATTTATTTCAACCCTTCTGAAGTATAAACCAATTCTCATAACAGCAAATCGTGATCTTCAGGACTGTCGATTGCCGCCATACCCGTATAATTAACAAACTTTTGAAACGTCGAGACAGGTGAAATTACAACAGTAAAAACAGAAATAAGCTGGCTTAAGCATCGTTCTTTGTGGATCACTATATACTTTTGCAATGAGACCGGATATCAAGCCACAGTATGCAACTGATTACATTGGTCTAAAAGTAAGTAACATTTTATGTGATAGACTTCCTGACGTCCATCACAAGCACCGATTTTGGTCAAACTCATAGCAGGGCTTATTAAGAAAACACCGTTGATTAAGACTACGATGTAAGGCTGGCTAATTTACTGGATCATTTAATGTTAAGAAACTGTGTTATTAGTCAAAATATCTTACAGAAAGGATGAAGAGTCAGTGAAGCAGTTGGACTGTGTCGCGAAATAGGATGGAGGCAAATGAATTGTCATAGATTTGGGAGGTCATGAATACCAATACATTTTGCACAGTTTGTACCTTGGCAAATTGCAAAATACACACCTGCAGAGCCAAAGAGTAGTCCTTCGCGTGCAAACAAGTAATCGCCTTACTAAACCCGTTGAATATCAACACTTATTTCCTTAAAGATTATGAATGGCTTGTTGTCAGAAACCAATAAGTTAGTAAGTAACCATTTTTAGTGCATCCTGTAGATTCGTAATTTTCCAATTTACTCACCACAGATCCATGAATGCAATAACGAAGCAGCAGAGAATGTCGACGGTTAATTACGTAACCGCTAAATGACATCCTTTATACGTAAATTTCGCTTTCGGCTGCCGCATGTACACTACGATAACCACAGACATCTAGTTGGGTCTTTTAAGGCTTGTTTTTTCGCAGTCCTACGGAACAAGTGAACAGCTTCTTTTTTATTGCTCCCAACGCGCAACCTTTCCGAAGGGAACTCAGAGTATTGTCACGAGATTCTACACGATAGATGAAAGACAAACACGGTCATAACTAAACAGACTCTTCCCATGACCGCGCCGAGGGATAAGTAACACGTTTCTCTGCGAACTAGAAAGCTACTCACCACCGATGAGAGTATTTTTACTAAATCAGTACATAAATGCATTTGTAGCACAATTAAGTTTGTCTAGGCCAAACTGCTAATTATCCATGCTTTGTTGTGGTGCTGAAGATTTACTAGAAGACTATTAAGGAACACGTGATCCTGTGACTGATTGATCGTCAATGTCACGTATACGTAATCTTCAGAGGGAATAAAATAAGCATTACCCGTGCTTTCCTTGGCCAGTGTCTACATAAAAATGATAACCGGGGAGCTTATGTGGCCCATCTTACTGCTGTTATTATGGGCTTGCACCAAATAACTCTTACTGCCTCCAATTAGGTTTTGTTAACGTGTCACACATCATGCACAGCTGCTTTCAAACTCAAGAGCTAATCTTTCTATTAGATGGCTAATCGCCACTGGATGAGAGATGTTCGCAGTTGTGCTAAGTCTAAATAGTGGAAAGAACTATCGCCTAATAACTATTCTTTGCGTACTTAGTGATCAGGCTACCTATAATTCTTTATCAGTACTGAATGTGCTGAATAGACACGGGTCGACTCATTATCGAATATGGTAACCATACCCCTCCACTGCCTAGGCACCATTCTCCTGTTCAAGGCTCGAAATTTGCTAAACTTGGGCTTCTAATTTTGCGAAATTCAGTAATTTGAAAAAGAATCGCGGGTGAAAGTAAGAGATCGTGAAGGTTGTAACGTTTGATCCATCTCTAATCATTGCTGTGGATGCACCCGTTTTTCACATTAAATATCTGAAGCTCTTGATCACGTAAAATCTCTAACTTAATGCAGGTGACGGAAAGCATTTTAAGCACTGCCCATCTGGGATCTCGGGAAAGCAATCCAGAGATGCATGGACGGCACTGATAACTTATCTTTCAGTAATGCGCTCCAGCTTAGTTCATCTAGATCCAAGGTGATCATGCCCATCATCGGACATGCAGTATGCATATACCTAAAAACATTTTTATTTAAACTTGCAAAATACATTCTATATGTAGTCTGTCACCGGAGCGTTCTTGTGGAATTACTTAGGATGAATTTGTTTGCTCGATGAAGTCCAAGATCAGGCCAAATATTGATAACCAAATCATCGAACTTTTACGGAGCGCGGTTTGGCTGTTCGTCCAATCCATCTGCTCAAAGCTATTGGCAACTTACATAGAAACTGGTGTGAAACATGCTGTCCATGTTTTTCAGCCAGTGCCGAGGAAAAAGGAGTATGAATCATTTAAAGCACTTTTACACCTCCCACATTCAATAAGTTGTGAATCGCAAAGTTTCTCCAACCGAGAGTATTGGTGCATAGTTGGTGATTTGATATTGAGCTAGCAAGCTTTGATAAATCCCCACTAGGTTTGCTGCCATTAGTTGCAACTTATTAACATTTGAAATCTCTGATACCACATGCTAACCTCGGTAGCCTGACATAACTTGATGGATTGTCATCATCACGTTTTGTACCGTTATGTTTGTTAGACATGGAATGCAATTTCTTCTTACCCTGTTTAAGCCCCCACATATTCTACTACCAAGGATGTATTATGTAGTTCAGAAGGGTGAATATTATCGTTTAGCAGCATTTATCAAATGTTTGGCGTTAGCTCCTTTATAAAGGTTTGCACGTGAACAATATGCAATGGGCCCCAAAAGTCCCCTTTCGTTTTGTCCCCACTTGACCATCACAGGTTGCTTTATAATGACTAACCCTTCATTCGTCAGTAAGCCAGCTTTCTATCGTTTTGCTCTTCATAAGCATGCACCTCGTATTTGATCCTACAGGGTAACTAGAGCTATTGGACGCTTAGTTTGAACCGTGAATAGTGCGGTGCAAGCCACTGACTGTTCAGCTGTTAACATTGGGCTTCTGTGGAGGTTTGAAATCACGCTTACAAGCAAGTCAAGCCAAGGACGCAGACAAATAATAGCATGTTTGAAAGAATATAGTCGTCGAAATGCTCGGCGAACGTATTACCTCACAAACTTTGGTAGTGGTTTACCAAAATACGCTTGTGACAAAGTGTCGGTGCCTGGCCTCGAGTATGAATCGGACCACAAAGTACCAGGTGTACACGTGGCATTTCGTCACATAATCAGCTTAGAAGATGGTAGTGTAAACCTCAGAGCAATATGTAGCTTAATTAGCTAACTAGTCTAGCTATTTTTGGCCCCGTACAACTTCCGGGTTAGGAAGTCGGTGAAGAAGAGCATCGCTGTTTGGATACGCTTGAGGGCCGGGCGCGTAATCCCAGACAATGATAGGTTTGCATGAGTGTATGCATTAGTTCTACTGATCGAAACCGTAATCACTAACTTGACAAAAAAGAAAACGGCGTTTGAAAAGCCTAAAAAACTACCATTCAACTGGCTTTGTAAACGCATGCCTTCTATGTATGTCCATCAATTTGATGCTAGCCCTGAATACTACTTATTTTGTTGTTATTTTTAGGTCCGTGGCATACGAAGAACAGCATATCATTTATTTCAAGCTCCAAAACAAGGCTTTCATGTTATACAAATGGGGCTAATTTGTAAATGAACGGTTGTGATCTACCTGTGGTTTTGTCAGTCTGTGTTAACGCCCAATGCGCTACATCAGGAATAAATTGTGTTCCCTGTACTTGTGTTCTCTTTACTGAATCAAGTTACTAAGGTTTAATTTATTGTCCCTTTTAATCTATATGTGACAAACAATTGCGAGCGTACTCAAAGTCACGGCTACTCCCTCCTGGAGATCAAGTAGAGTTGACTACCTACTGTGTTATTCAGTGGAATCTTGCGGACTGACTACCTTGCTTGTCAAATCGGGTCACATAGCAATTACAAGTAACGTACAGTAGCAACCTGATTACAGAAGCATAATGCTGAAGTTTGAACGTAGAGGTATTCAGAAAGTAAACAATTAGTAAACAAAAAGTCAAAATATATATCGTATTTATGACACAGCCGTGTTTATCGGCAAGTGTACAAGAATTTTAAGTTCGTTAGGCGGTGGTGGCTAACCCTTTTTTCACAACCAAAATATTAAATTAAAAAGAATTTATCAAACTGATCAGAATTTTAAGGACCTGCAGCACGATCCACCGGGCCCTGTCATACATTTGCATTCTTGCTCTTTTCGGGTTCCCTTATCCAAAGGGAACGACAGGCACTTGGCATTCATTGAAGAAAGTTAACTGAAAATGAAGTCCGCATACTTTTGCAAATTCAAGATAAGCTGACATAGGTTAATTGCTTTCCTTGGATAAACCTTGATATATATATATATATACATATATATATATATACAAATCTGTTTAAAATGTTTCGAAATACTGGTAGCTCGGGTTGATGAATCAAGTGTTCATTTGTTCTCCGAGCTTGGCGGTTTTGTCGCAAACGTTTCACCACCATGCGAGTTGGCATCCTCAGTGCAGTGATATGCATACATTTCACTGCACCGAGGATGCCACCTCGCATGGTGGTGAAATGTTTGAGACAAAACCGCCAATCTCGGAGAACAAATGAACAATTGATATAAAGTTGTGCTTCTAAGACATGTATGATAAGATTACATGTATGTATAAAACGCAAGATAAGTGGTTGTGCATGCTGTCCAAAAATTTATTTAAAGTCAAATCTGGCGTTAAATGTCGCGGACACACCGCTGCACGAATTTGTTTTGTAACGATAAACCACGAAGTTACTCAGAATGAAGAGTAAAGAAACGGGCAACTTGTTGTTTTGCTAAAAGCAGATGCATGAAGATATCAAGCAGTAATATGTTGCGTTTCAATCAGGGTTGGGTTATGTTCCATTTTAATCAAAGCACAGATCAGTAATTTGCTATTCGAGATTGCGAAGTTAACGAACCTTAAATAGCAAGAGCAAAAACGTGAAAAGATCTACGAGATTCTACCTAGGGATCTAATAATATCAAGGAATATTGCTACGGCTTTGTTAACGACAACCTATAAGCTACTAGCTACAGAGGAAAACAACAAACCGAATACATTGTTAAAAAGCACCACGACAATTTACATAATCAGGGACGGAAAAATTTACACCCACTTGTGTAAAATATAAGCTCAGTATAAAGAATGAAAGACCGAAAGGATTTGGTAACAGGCTCTTCATGGAAATTGGGGTTATCTTTTAGCAACAAAACATCTTCAACGAATCACGGGCAATGTTACACTTCAGAACCAAAACTATTCATATTTCTTTGAGAACATACACATCACATAAATGTCAGAATAAATATTCCTTTCGAGTAAACATTCCAAGGAACCTAGCTTTTATATGGCGGAGATAAATTGCTGCGTGAATGAAATTAAGCAGAGAGTTTGATTTCTTTTTCGTCTGAAGAAGCAAAATTATAGCTTAGGTCTAGACCATGTACAGTAGGCTAATTACAAAAGAGAAGTGTACAAATTTATGCTAGACAATACAAGGCATTCAATTCAGGTGACGACCAAACGGTTAGAGAACCTTGTCAAATATAAATAAATAAATTTGTACATTTACCGACAGACGGTACACGGCTCCATAAGTAGGAGTGATCATTTGTATAGTGAAGAGGTTTCATAATATTAAAAAGTTTGTTAATAGAATTTCGGACCATGAATTTTGTTCCTGAGGTGCTAGACCCGTGCACATCATATGTAAAAATTACGGATGTTTGTATCATCAGGAGTAGGTAATAAAGGGACGGACAACTAGGCTGTAAAGACACAGGAATTGGTATGGTACGTAATGACATGTAGTGGGTAAGCTAGGTGTAAGCGAATATCTTCTGATATGTTTTTATACCAAAACCTGTCAATGTTTCTAAAGTTTGATGTGAGTCAAATTTCTTCAAAGCATTTGGCATAGTGAGGAAGATCTGAAGGAGATTTCTAAACGTGACATGGCTTGTGCACATGCATATCTGTAGGGGTAGTTTGTTCCACAGATAAGTGTATCTCATTAAGAAGAAATTCGACCGAATTTTATGGCGTGAAAGTTTGGGTGTATCAACTAGCCGTCATTACGTGTGGGGTAGACTGCAGTCTTCCGTAGTCCTAGTGCAGCGCTGTCTCCGTAAATTCGTTGGT